AATTTTTAAATTGCTTTTTTAATACAAAAAATTGTTAAAATAATATTATTATTAAATTATAAATTTAAAAAGTTAAAATTTTTAAATTGCTTTTTTAATACAAAAAATTGTTAAAATAATATTATTATTAAATTATAAATTTAAAAAGTTAAAATTTTTAAATTGCTTTTTTAATACAAAAAATTGTTAAAATAATATTATTATTAAATTATAAATTTAAAAAGTTAAAATTTTTAAATTGCTTTTTTAATACAAAAAATTGTTAAAATAATATTATTATTAAATTATAAATTTAAAAAGTTAAATTATTTATAAAAATTTTTTAATAATATTATGAAAATTATTCAAATATTAATTTTCTAATATTTTAATTTGTGCTATAAATAATTTAATCAAAAAGATATTGTGACAAATCCAAATAATCAAAATATAAAAATCTAATATTAAAAATCTAATTTAAAATGAAATGATCAAATTGTTAAAGAAGTTTTCTAAGCTTGTCAAATTAATTTTTTCTAATTACAATTAAATCACTTTATAAGAAACGGATTTTAGAATCATCTCTTTATAAGAACCAGTTTTTCTGGTCCAACTGTGTTCTAATAAAGAGGGGACAACTCAATCTTTTCTTCTTTGACTTTTAAGCTAAACCTATATCAAGTACTTCGATCATAAAGCATAGCCCAACAATTAAAAGACAATTATTAAAGCTAATCATTTTTGCATAACCAAGCAATTTTTTGTGAGAAATACTTACGAGATTTCTTAACATATTATTCATTGTTTAACAAAAACGAAATGTGTGACCTATTGTTATATTTAATAAAAGCAAAGTCAATTCGTTAGCATAGTTATTCATTTGTCTGGGAACGTCCCATATTTGAGTAATTGTCGATGATCGTTATCGTTATCATGAATACTATTTTCTCATATGACCATTGATTTAGATATAGTATACTGTATGAACAGTATATTTATTGATAATCTTCGAATCGAATTGAGTGTAACGCGAAAATGCATGCATTTTACAATTTAAATTTTGGGGTAGAAGCAATACATGTAATTACTGTATCTGTATTAAGAGAACAGCCCCGTTTTTAAATATAGTAAGAGAAACAATTGCACAAATTAAATAAATAAATAAATAAATAACAATACCGATACTGCGTTCACCACTCCTTTTTTCCTGTTTCTCTTCGTTAATATTATCCCATTATCCTATTATTATATAAGTGTTATTACGTATATTTTTTATATTTTACCTCATTATTTACGACAATTTAAATTATCTTTGGCTTGTCAAGTTCTCTTAATAATTGAAAGATGTCAACGACAAATGAGTTTCAGCAACAAGAAAAACAAATAAGAGATAACACAAGCTCTTCGCGTTTATTTTATGAAGAGGAAAGACAAGCAATTTCTTCACGTCACCACCACCATCATTATCATCACCACCATCATCATTACCATACACGAGATCATTCCCCTGTCGCCATCTCTACTAAAAACTTTCTTTTACTACCAACTAGACTTTTATCGTCGGCGATAAAATTGTTCAGTCAAGAGTATAAGACTAACTTAATCAATAGTAACAACAATAATGATCATCTGATATTAGACGAAGATTCACGAAGTGAGCTTTCCTCATTATCACCGTCAGAATGTTCGACACCCATAACCGAAGACTTAGATAATTGGCCGGAGGTTAAATTATTCGACAATGAATATCATAATGAGTTGTTGAACGAATATCTTAAAGCTCATGTTGAAAAATCTTTGTTAATTGGAGAGAAACAAGAAAAAAAGGTGATATCAACATCACCAACACCAAACTCGAGAAAAGAACAAAAGAATAAACACACTTTGTATTTTGATAATTTGAGTGATCTTTTAGCAGATGACTTTGAGGAAGATGGCGACAAAGATATTAAATTTGTATGTATTAAATATTCACGTGTTATTTTCAGTTCATATAGAGTCTAACATTACATGTTTATTATCTTGTAAAAATATATTAAGCTTGATAATCCATTTTACGAATACGATGAATTATTCTCACCGCCATTTAATCATGAAGAAAATGATCAATACTCAAGTGAAGAAGATGAAGAAAACTATAAAATTGAAGACAACAGATACAACGAAGAATGTAGTTTTTTTAAGACTGTTTTCTTTTCCGGTTCCTTTTCAATAGATGACGATATACCGAAAGGTCGTTTCCATGATTGATATTTATTTCATCATATCTGTTTGCTTTAATTCTTTAGTACAATACACGAATATCAACAAAAAAAAATGCTAGAACTTTTCTATACACTAATATAATAATTACAGCATATATCAAGATTCGTTTTATAATTCGTCAATTCATCTTTTTTACTTGCATCATTTTTGCACTGTATATAGCATTCAT